GGACACGGTGAAAGTCGAACGAAATTTGTTCTGGGAATAGTATTTGAATTTCTTCCGTCAACAAGTGGAAGTCGGAATTTAAAAGATTCATACCGCTATGACAGGCATTCAAAAAACTTGTGCAGACAGTGCAAGGCTTGTCCTCAAATACTGATGAATAACGCATTCTGCCCTACCTACGAGACAATGCCATTCTGAGGGTCCTCAACTATCCATACACGTATATGTATATATCATCGTGCGCGCGCGCACATACACACACACACACACACACACACACACATAAAGCTTTCACGTTCTGTCCAGACAGCTCGAGTCATGGCGAAGAATATAAAATACCATATCTATCGAAGACCATACCCTTCATGATACGCCGTACAACTCGTCAAATCGACTGTTCTCAGCGTCTACGTATGCAACGCGCATACATTTACACGAGTGCCAGACTTATCTAATATGAATTCCGAATTCTTACAACTCGTTAGAATTTTCTTTTCTTTTTTAATTATTCGTAGAAAGAAATTTAATTGACTCGTGGTTTATGGAAATCGAAAATAGTCATAAATATAACAATAAAAAGATCGAAATATAATTATGCAATTGTGTTGCATAAATTATTATTATTACGTCTGTCGTGTAAAATATTCAATATTCACGAACATTGTTAGTGAGACTATGGCTGTATCGAAAAATGTACGCGGATGAAAGTAAAAAAATCACAAAATTATTTGAAGATTATATTAATAAATTTCAGATACGGACATCAGATTTTGCGTTTGCAGTAGAAAAACATCTCGCGTAATCCTATATACATTTTCAGGCTGCTTTCAATAATCATCATAATCATTTCATTTCTGGTGGAAATTTTGAAATTCTGCATTGCACAATACGAATGCTTAAATACGAATATTTAACACGCGCGATGTACGCAGTGTTAAATTATAATAACTATTGTATCAATAATATGACACTCGGGCAAACTCGAATAAACGAAACGAAACGAAACAAACGAGCGGAAATTTTATTTACGAATTCAATAAACCGCGCGAATCGCACAGTTCGATGTCATCGTTTGCATATTGTTCCGACGCGTTAGAGTGTACAGATTGTATGTACCTATGCAAATTTTGACACGGCCGTGGTGGCCCAAGGAAATTTTGCCGTGAATAGCACACACATTGCAAAGTCAATAGCAGAATTATATGTGTAGTTTCAACACATTCTTGCATCGCCGTTTAATTTCCTTTTTCAAATCTTCGTTGATAAATAAAAATGTATCCCAGTTTACCATTTATTTCGTTCTTCTTTCTTGTCGTTGCACTGGAATTCTTTTTCATCTTCATACTATTCAGTCTCAACTTAGATTTAAAAATATATTGAATTTCGTATCATTTGATGTTACGTAAATTTGAAGTTTCTAGTTTAGCGGTTTCTCAGTTTCGCTGTTATTTTTTAATAAAAGGGGCACACTTTATCACACATCAGTCACCATGTGTCATTCACTTTATCACCTATGTCAACCTGGGAGAGATCGAAGAAGTTCTTATTACTTAAACAAGAAGAAGAAAAGTCACATTAGAAAAATTATATTAAACAACGAAATAGCGAAAATTGGAAAAAAAGATCGCTACATTAGAAATTTACCGAATTACAATTAAATAGATCATCTTTTTAATCATACATTTAATTATCACATAAAAAAGATATGCTGACTGAACAAACACGCTTCGTGGGAGTAAAATTTCTACGCGAAGAAAAGAAGAGACGTCACGTTGGAAAAAATTATATAACGAAATGGCCAAAAATTGGGAAACGAAATCGAGCTACACTGGAAGTTCTGGCATCGCTACATGAAAACAAAATTGCACGAACTAGTAACGAACAAGCTTCGTAGGAGCCACACTGTAAAATTTCCACGGAGAGATGAAAAAAGAGAAAAAGGAGAAGAGGTCAGCCACGGCTGAATGTTTAAGTAGACG